AGCCTATGAAAAGGGAACTTGGAGGGAGAGGCTATTCCAACACCGTCGACGAGTCCTCGGTTGACACAGGTCCGCCTCCTCCTCGACCTTCTCCTCCATTCCTTTCACTTCTAAACGACTCCCCCCCATTGCACCCCGGGGCCGGCCGACAGGGCGGGCCGGGCGCATCGGCTGAACTTCCTGATCCTGCAACTTGAAACTTGCAACGCGGACGGAAGGCACGTCGTTTCTTAGCCCCCGCGCACACCTGGACCCCAAATTTGCAACGGCTTTAACGGATGGAGGGCGGCTCGTTTCCAGAACGTTGCCTTCGCCTGCGCGCCGCGCGCATCCACTTCAAAAACTTGCAAACGCTTCGCGGACAGAAGCTGCGAGTAGCACGATCGCATCAAAAAACCTATCCGCACATCCCCACCCCCTTGAGGACAGCACCCGCACCGCGAGTCGGGGCGCCCCCCAGAGACGCGCGCGCCCGAAGGGCAGTGCACAGCGAAGTGAGGGGCAGAGACACGCAGGCGCCGCCACCGGCCAGGCCCGCACCATCGCACGCACCCACCCCTTGCGACACACGGACACGCGCGGTGGAAGTGGGCAGGAGATGGGAGCTCGACGACAGGTGCCCCGAAGGCTCAACTTCCCAGAAAGCGCCCACATTCGGGGCGCCGACATAAACTGGCAGAGGGGAAGGGAAAAAGCAACATTGCAGAAACAACAATCATAGGAAGGCGGTCGGAAAGAAGCGTCACGATGTACACTTGCGAAAAAGAGGATCGCTGGCGCCAACTTATGCAGGGGGAGACATGGATGCGCACCTGACGACAACGACCGAAACAAATGGTTCGACTGCAACAGCGCACGAGAGAAAGAACATGTCGACGCGCACCTGTGGGGAGGCAGAACTCTTCTCATTCGACCCGAAGGGCGCATTCCAATGGAGAAAAGACACACGCCACACGCACGGGCCAGTCGGCGGGAACAACGTAGACGCAGCGAGCTCGGCAAGCGGGGCCCTCGGGGCCCAGCTGCCCCAAACGGGGGCGGGGGCGCACCGCCGCCCCGCCGGCGCGAAACGGCGCGGAAAGGAAGGAGAAAGGAGGGAGAGAAAGAAAGGACGGGTAAACTTCGCGATCAACAAGCATCTACCCCGAAGGACGCGAGCCTTCACGCTAGTCGAACACTGGCCACCACGAGCGCACCCGAAAAAGCGCCAGTTCGCAGGGCTGCGACCCCCCTGCTAGAGGTTTCTACAGCGATGCGACCCCCCTGCTAGAAGTTTTTGCGGGGCTGCGACCCCCTGCGGAAAGGTTTCTCGCCTAACTGGGGAAGAAGAGGAGAAAGGGAGGAGGGGCCTGACCCGACTCCAACGGGGCGCGGGGGGGGCGGCCCCCGCGACCCCCGGAGGCTGCGGGACCGGACGAAAGAGGAAGAAGGGGGGGAGGGAGGAAGATACCCTCCCCCGATGGAAGACATCCGGACCCGCGCACCAGCCGCGAGAAGAGGAATGAGAAGAATAACCTGACAGCGACAAACACTACCTTCACCCGCCAATCAAACCATGAGGACGCACATGGCCCCCGCCGACATAGGGGCTACTCTTGACGATTAGGAGCGCAGATGATGGCAGAGTGCAAGATCATGGGTCCACAGCGCCCCATTGAAGCACCTGCTGCAAGTCGCGGAATCGTCCGCGCGCGCAGGAGTCGGCCCTAGCTCGCCTGGCGCGACGTGCACCGCGCGAGTTGCCCGCGGTCCAAACGGGCAAGAAGTCCGCCACCCGTGCACGTTCAGCATCTCTGATTATCGAATCTCTTTTCGAGCCTGGGAGAGGTGATTTATGCGTCCTGCATGAGGTCCGCCGCCTGCGAAAGCGAAATCGCAAACCGAAGTCGGATAGCCACCCGGCCAGCCTGGGCCCGTACATCATGCAACTCTGCAAGGGCGCTGGCGCTCCGCAGCACGATCACAGCAATTCCCCCCGCAAGCAACGCACGCGCGTTCAGATGCGTCACAACGTCGAGCGATGGCCTGTTCGGCACGCACAGCATGCCGCACAAGGCAGAAGCGAAGGGAAGAGAAAGGCAAATGAGGAATGGGCACGTGGATGGGGAGCAGAGAAACATTAGATGGATGGAGAAAGCAGAAGCACAATGGATGAGTTGAGATCAAGCATAAGAACATTGAAAATAAGGGAGCAATCGAAATATCTCTCCCGCGCAGGAAACGTTGACGGCGCGTTGACCTACGTGGGTGTCCACCGACGCAGGACGGGGAGCTGCCCACGTATACAACTTCGCGAATGTAGCTTCGTACCGAGACTGTCGAGAAAGTTCACATGGCCCAGAGGACAAAGCAAATCTGGCTGATAACCTGAGAAAAATTAGATCGTACCAGAGAGCCTATCCGCATATGCCCACCCCCTGGGGGACAGCGCCCGCACTATGAGTCGAGATGCCTCCAGAGACGCGTGCGCTTGAAGGGCAGCGCGCAGTGAGGTGAGAGGTAGAGCTATGGTGCTGCCACTGGCCAGGCCTGCACCATCGCTAACAGAAGCCAGGTCACTTTCAAAGTGGCTCTCACCTAAACGCCGCGCGCTTTCGTCTCGAAAGTGTGCAAGAAATTCGCGGGTGGAGGGCGGGTCGTGCACAAAACGTGGCTCTCGCCTTAGCGCCGCGCACATTCGCCCTAAAAATTGCAAGAGCTTCGTGGAGGGAGGACGGTGTTTTTCAACATACGGTTCTCGCTTAAGTGCCGCGCACCTTCGGTTCCAGAGTTCACAGAAGTCTCAGAAATGTTCACGGATGGCGTCCCAGACAATAATGATTTGGCACGATGTCGGACTGTCAAGGCGCAACAGTTACGTTGATTCGTCGCGTTGGAGTCCCAAGAATGGCGTTCTGGCAAGATCAGGATGATCAGGATCGTAAAGACGCAACAGTTACGCTGATTCGAGGTATTGAAATCCCAGAAATGGTGTTTTGGCACAGTTTAAGATGTCCAAACGTTTGTTTAAGAATCTCTGGAGAAAAGGTTCGCATCCCGCCCTCCCATCTATTTCGGCACACCTCTCACACGGATCGTGGCCCACAGGGATCTCCACCTACGGCCCTAAAGACAAGGTTCGCACTGCACCCCCCCTGACCACGGCTGCACACCCGATGACGCGGATCGTGCCCACAAGGAGCGCCACCTAAAGGCCCAGAGACAAGGTTCGTACAGCGTTCCCCCGTCCATGTCGGCAGATTCGTCACGCGAACCATGCCCCCAAGAAGCTTTACCGATGGCACCAGTGGGCAGCTTCTCGCGGGGTACCCCCGCCCATGTCGGAACATCCCTCGCACTTGTCGTGCATGGAGGAGTTCCACCTGTGGACCCCAGTGGGGGCGTTCGCGCGGGGGTATCCGAATTATTCGGCACACCCTTCACGCGGATCGTGGCCTACACAGAATTCAGGAAATCAGCACACCCGTGCACGCCTGCTCCGCAGCAGCAACCTTTTCGCATTGCCCCGCGGCGCGCAGTGTATGAAGAGAGACCCACGCCCTGCGCTACACATGGCTACATAGGGATGGGTCCATCGCCAAACCAAAAACTTGCTTATCAATGGCCTTCAGCCCATACCGCTACTGTACTCTCTGAGGCCCCTGGACGGCCCTTCTGGAACGCGAAGGTCCGTTGGGATCCACCTGCCAGCCCGAGGCGCCGATTTTACCCCCCACCCTGGGGCCCACTCAGAGAGGGATAGAGAGAGAGGGAGCGAACATACACATATATATATATATACACACATACATATACATACATAAAAATACAGATATATGTATATATAGACATAGATTGATATATAGATAGATAGATAGATAGATAGATAGATAGATAGATAGATAGATAGATAGATAGATAGATAGATAGATAGATAGATATATAGATAGATAGATAGATAGATAGATAGATAGATAGATGGTAATATCTATATATACATATATATATATATACATACACACATACATCCATACATCTATATACATATATATATATAGAGAGAGGGAGAGAGAGATCCGGCACCGTGCCTCGGGGCACGGAGTGGAGATACCCCCAAGCTCTCATGTGTTCCCTGTTCTCTGTACTCAGGACTGGGGTATTCTAGTATTCTAGGAGCTGGGGCCCCAGATTCCCAAAATTCCTGGGTGCTCCCACGCGCTAGCTGCCACGCGTGACCCTTCCAGAGACCAGGGGGCCCCAAGATGGGCCCAGAGGGGCCCAAGAGGCGCCCAAGAGACCTCCAAGACAGCCCAAGAGCGCTCCATGACGTCCAAGATGGCCCCCAACACGGCCCAAGAGGCCCCAAAAAGCCCCAAGAGCGCTCCAAGAGGACCCCCGAGAGGGCCCACAGAGGCGAAAATCATCGATTCCCAAAGGTGCTTTTCAATGTTTTTCGCGTTCTCGCCTCCGAGCCCCGAAGTCCCCGACCCGGCGGAGGGAAGCCGTGGAGGGAAGCCGCGCGGTGAAGCCGAGGGCCCGCCACACGCACCGGAAGTTGCATCAGGTAGCCCTGGCCCGAGGTACCGACGGCCACCACGACTTCGACGAGTGGCTCCAATACTGGCACGGGTGACCTTGCCTCCTTTTCGCCTTCTTGGGCCTCCTGGCGGAACCTCGTCGCCACGGCTGGATCCACCTCGACATCCTGGTCTGAGACCGCCCGAGGAGAGGTCCAGGGAGCGGCGGTATCGGAACCCCAGCTGTGCACCCCATCCTGGAGCCCTTGGAGGCCATGTGGGCCCCAGGCTGGCTCGCCGGGCCGCGCGAAGGTGGACCCTGGAGGCCACGCAGGCCTCTCTCGAGAAGCTGGGGTCGCCTGGGCCGCAGGCGTGGAGATCTCGCCCCACCGCGTGCCCAGCCAGGGCCGCAGCTCGCAACGCGGGGAGGGCCGCGCGGAGAAGCCGCGCAGCGCGGGGAGTCCCCGCGGGGCCCGGGGCTGGCGCGCGGGGCCGGCGCGGCGCCTGGGGCGCCGGGCGGGCAGCCTCCGAGGAGGGGCTCCCGGCTTCGGCGCCTCGGGCGCGGCGCGCTGGGGCCCCGCCGCGGGGCGGGCAGGCGGGCATCGGCAAGGGGGCAAGGGGGCAAGGGGGCAGCGGGAGGTCGGGCCCCCTTCCCTCCCTCCCTCCTCCCCTACCCCTCTCCCTCCCTCCCCCTCCCCACTTCCCTCCCTCCCTCCCCCTCCCTCCTCCCTCCCTCCCTCCCCTCCCTCCCTCCCTTCCCCCCTCCTCCCCCCTTGGCTCCCCCTTCCCCCCTCCTCCCTCCCTCCTCCACTCCCTCCCACCCCTCCCTCCCTCCCTCCCTCAGAATAGGGATGGCGAAGGGGAAGGGGGAAGGGGAGGGAGAAGGGGGGGAGGGCAGATTGGCAGGGGCGGGGAGAAGGGGAAGGGGATTTGTCCGCGCCTCTTCCTCATGAATGGTTTCGAACGGTTTCGACTGGTTTCTCCTCGTCGCACAACACCGTGTCGGCAGGGCGGGCCGAGCGCTTCGTTTGAAATGTCTTATCATGATGTGGTGCCTGAAGCATTAAATTGCCATCATTTACAAAGCCAGAAGACGAATGGCTTTCAAAATGCGGCTCCCGCCGCGTAGGTTGGTTCTTGAAGTTACCAACATATAGGGATAAGACCACCCTTCTAGCCGAAAGGAGGGTTGGGGGATGGGTGCAGCTTTCGATTTGCGATTAGCGTCGGATCGGATTTGCAATCGGCCACCGTGCCTGCACGAAGCGGGCGTGTTAGAATGCTCCTCTGCTGTCTGGTGAGGTTTCGTAATGTTTTCTAAGGCCGACTTCCACCCCTCGAACCAACCACTACTCGAACATCGACCCCCACATCTTTGGAGCCGAGTTCGGTGATAGCCTTCCCTACCAAATTACATGTACAACAAAACTGTGCCGAAAACATGCCCCCCGAGGGGGGTGCAAACATGCCCCCCGAGGGGATCAAAACCGGCCTCCCCGATGGGCACCCAAAAAGCTCCCAAGCGGCCCCCAAGAGGCACCCAAGAGACACCCAAGAGACACCCAAGAGACACCCAAGAGACACCCAAGACGCCCAATGAAGATCTCTAAGAGGCCCCCAAGACGTCCCAAAAGGCCTCCAAGAGGCCCCCGAGACGCCCCAAAGGCCCCCAAGAGCCGCCATGAGGCCCCTAAGACGCCCCAACAGGCCTGCAAGAGACCCCGAGAGACATCCCAGGAGAATCCGAGAGGCATCCAAGAAGCTTCTGGCCCACGGAGGCTCCCCGAGCGATCCAGATGATGCCACGCTCCGCCAGGAAGGGCAACTCTCCTGGTCATCGTTCCTGGATGGGCTGGTGGGGATTCGCTAAACGTTAAGACTTCGAACATATTCCTGCTACGCTGTTACAGGCACAGTGGCGGACTTTGCCGCAGATAAATGGCAATGCGTGTATATATATATATATATGGAGATATATGTGTGTATATATATATACATACATACATACATACATACATACATGCATGCATGCATGCATGCATGCATGCATGCATACATCCATCCATCCATCCATCCATCCATCCATCCATCCATCCATCCATCCATCCATCCATCCATCCATACATACATACATACATACATACATACATACATACATACATACATACATACATACATACACGTGTGTGCATATATGAGAGAGCGCGCCCGTGCGGAACTCGCAAGGGAGGGGGGTCCCCCCTTAGCTACCCCCCCCCCTCCCTTGGACCCCCCCTGCTGGAAGCTCCCCCCCCCCCTCCCCCCCTTTTTCGTCCGCGCCCGGAAGCTACCCCCTCTCCCCTTTGGCCGCTCCGAAGCTACCCCCCCTCCCCCACTTTGGCCGCTCCGGAAGCTACCCCCCCCTCCCCCCCTTCCCAAAGGGGGGGGGGGCTGCTCCGGAAACCCTAACCTTAACCCCTACCTGCAACCCTCACCCTAACCTTACCCCTAACTCGAATCCCTGACCCTAACCCCGAACCCCTAACCCTCACCCTCACCCTAGCCCTAAAAAAAACCTAACCATCTCCCTAATTCTAACCCCTAGCCCTAGACCCTAACCCCAAACCCTAACTCTAGTCCCTAACCCGAAACCGAACCCTAACCCCTAACCGCAACCCTAACCCTAACCCCTAACCCTCACCTTGACCCCCTAACCCTAACCCCTCATCCTAACCCACACACTAACCCCCAACCCAACCCCTAACCACAACCCTAACCCCTAACCCTAAGTCGAATCCGAAACCGAACTCTAATTCCAAACCCTAGCCCACACCCTAACCACAACCCTAAACACTACCCTAACCCTTGACCCTAACCCTGACCCTTACCCCTGACCAGAACTAGAATCCCTAACCCTACCGCTAACCCCCAGCCCTAACCTTAAACCACTAACCCGAAATATAATCCCTAACCCGAATCCTTACCCTAACCCTTAACCCTAGCCCTAACCTTATCCCTAACCCTAACCCTCACCCTAACCCTAACCCTAATCCTATCCATAACCCTAACCCTAAACCCTAACCCTAACCCTAACCCTAACCCTAATCCTAACCCTAACCCTACATATCCCTAAGCCTGAACCATAACCCTAAACCCTAACCTAAGAACCTAAAACCCTAACCTAAAACCCAAACCCTAACCCTAAACCCTAACCCTAAACCCTGACCCTAAACCCTAACCCTACGCCCTAACCCTAATTCTAAATCCTACCCCTAACCCTATCCATAACCCTAAACCCTAACCCTATCCCTAACCCTAACCCTATCCCTAACCCTAATCATAACCCTAACCCTAACCCCTAACCCTAACCCTTAGCCCTAACCTAACCCATATCTCTAAGTATTATCCCTTACCCAACCCCTTAACCCTATTCCTATCCCTAACCCTAATTCTAACCCTAACCCTAAACCCTATCCCGAACCCTCTCCCATTAACCCTAACCTACCCCGAACCTAATTATTATCCCGTCCCCGAGCCCTAGCCCTATCCCCTAACCCTAAATCCAACCCTAAGCCTAACCCTACCCCCATAATCCTATCTCTAGTCCTAACCCTCACAGTCCGAACTCTACTTCGGACCCTAGCCCTAGGCCACACGCTAACCCTAACACCTAACCCTAACCCTAATTCCTAACCCTAACCCTAATCCCTAACCCGAATCGCTCGCCTCGCGCGCAGATTGTTGGACTGTTGCGCCTCCCAACAGCCTCCACGTCCACCAGCCCACACGCTCGGCTCGCTCGTCCTCTCCTCGCTCCACTCCCTTCCCTCCCTCCCTCTCCCCCTCCCTTCCCACCTCTTTGGAAAGGAAGGGAAGAGGGGGAGAGGTCCGGAACACCAACAGGGAGCACAGGGAGAATGGCTACCCCCCCCTCCCGGAAAGGAGTGAGAGGGGGGGTGCTTTCGAAGCCCCCCCCCCCTTGGAGAGGTGAGGGGGGGGTAGCTTCGAAGCCTCCCCCCCCTTTGGACAAGGGGGAGGGGGGGGAGCTTCGAAGCCCCCCCCCCTTTGGAAGGGAGGAGGGGGGGGGTAGCTTCGAAGCCCCTCCCCCCCTTTAGCCAGGGCCCCCCCCAGCTTCGAAGCCCCCCCCCCCCCCCTTAGCCAAAAGGGAGGGAGGGGAGGGGTAGCTTCCGAAGTCCCCCCCCCTTTTGGAAGGGAGGGAAGGGGGGGGGAGCTTGAAGCTGGGGCCCCTCTTTTGGTCTTGAGTTCCGCACGGGCGCGCTCTTTCGTGTGTATATATATAGAGAGAGAGAGAGAGAGGAAAAAAAAATCTGGACGTTTCGAGTAACCCCACCATCCCATCCAGAAACGACGCTCACAGGAAGTGCCTCGATCAAGGAAGTGGGCAGCACACAGAGGAAAGGTCCCCCAATCGAGGCCTCTTGGAGCGTCTTGGGGGCCTTTTGGCGGTCCCGGACGCCTCTTAGAGCGTCTTGGGTGCCTCGGGAAGTTTCTTGTGGCCTCTTGGGGGTCTCTTGGGGGCCTCGTGGAGGCCTCTGGCCTTGTGGGTGCCTCTTGGGGCCCTCTTGAAGCGTTCTTGGGAGCCTTGGGAGCGCTCTTGGAGACTTCTTGGGCCATCTTAGGATCAGTTTGAAGCCTCGGATGGCCATCGGAAACGAAAAGGCGAGAAAGCCCAATACATTGATTTTCCTTCGGTTTTGGAAGGATGTTGGCCTATTCGGGGCCTCCTGGGGGAGCTCTTTGGCCACGTGGAGCCGTCTTGAAACGGTTTTGGGGCCTCTTGGAGCATCGTGGGAGCCATCTTCAGGCATCCTGGAATATCTTGAACCATCTTGGAGGTCATTTTGGGTTCCCCCAGGCGCTCGCGGAGTCATCTGGAGCACTGCCCCCCCCCCCAGGAGGCTTAAATGTGGTCAAAACCTTAGTAGAATCAATGATTTTGCCATTATCGCAGAGGCCTCTTGGGGCGTCTAGGGTGCCCCTGGATGGTTTCTCGGGGCCTCGTGGGGGTTTTGGGGGGGCATCCTGGGGGCCTCTTGGGGGCTCTTTGGGGCCACATGGGGCCATTTTGGGGCCATCCTCTTGGGACCTCCTGGGCGCCTCTTGGGGCCATCCTGGAGGAGATCGATCACAGGAGGGGGGGTGGGGGGCCTTTTCAGGAGGCCAAAAATGGGGCCTAAACCATGGTAGAACAAATTATTGTGGTGTTCTCGCCAAGGCCGTTTTGGACGCTCCAACGCGTCGCGGCAGGGGGTCCAGGGGACGGGGTAGGGGGAGGGGCTGCAAGTTAGCCGGCTCGAACGAGCCAGAGGGCCCCGTCCACTCCCACCCGCCCTCCCACAACATAAGAAGCAAGCGCGTCGCGTCCGACGCCAGTCGTTCATTTTATATCGTGGGCGGCTAGACGTTCAGCGCGCGACATGAGCTGCGTCCGACTCCTGCCGCGCATTGAGCAACGTCGACAAGAAACAAGACCGCGCGCGATGTACGCCGCGCCCCGCTCTGGCCTCCCAAGTTGCATCGTCGGCGACAACATGTCCAGCGCGCGAAGTGCGCC